TTTTCCCCTCCCCCTCCTTATGTCTAGGAAAACAACTAAATTAAAATCTGTGAATGCCCCAAACACCGTGTGTGTGTGTGCTGGTTTTGAAGGGTTTCCCCCTGCAGGGTTTGGGAGGACGGGCACTGTGCTCTGGAGAACCTCTGGGATCTGTCACTGCTGGGACACAGGACCCCTCCAGCCCCAAAAGAGGAGGGGGCAGCCTCTGAGCAGGTACTTGAACTCTGGACCGTCAGATTGAGAGGTCTAATTCTCTGTTGACTGAGCCACCCAGTTCAGTTTCTGGATGAAAGTATCACCGTGGGGGTGGTCCCCTCTTTTTCTTCCTCCTCATCACCTGCTGCAGGGTCCCATCTCCTCTTCTGCCCAACACCTGACCCCTGCAAGAGCTCTGTGCCCTCCCCCAGTGCAGTACCCAGGGCACCTGGGATCTCCTTGTCCCTTTTTGGGGTGGCAGTCCCCTGAGCCCCCTCGTAGCAGCAACCCCCTTCCCCACCCCACATCCCACCTCTCCCCTGCCCCAAGGACCACTACCACAATCCTGCCAGTCTGAGCAAGTAGCTTTATTGGGGGGCCCCCTGCCCCACTGTGTTTCCCACCATTTGCTCTGAACCCTACTGATGGCTGGAGCAGTGCTAGGGAGAAGAGGCAGCCCTGGGCCCCCTCCTGCCCCACAGCTTCATTACCGGGAGGACAGCATCATGACGAACTCTGTGGGGCAACGTGGCGGGCGTCGGGCACAAGGACACGTGTCCCACGCCTTGCCCAATGGGGATGAGGGGAAATAGGGCTGGACCTCACCATCGAAGTCCACACGACCGTCCCCGTTGAGGTCCACATCCTGTAGGATCTCATCAACCTCCTGTGCCTTCAGCTGCTCGCCCAGCAGCGCCGCGATGGCCTGCCGCATCTCTGCGCTGCTGATCTCCCCATCTCCATTCACATCGAACTGCAGCACATGTCGTGCCTCTTCCCCACCTCCCCTCATCCCTCAATCCCTGCTTTTCCCGTGTTCATCATCCCCGGCACAACAATGGTGCCTCTCATGGCCATCGTCCCCTCGTGGTCTTCCCATAGTCTGTGGTCACCATTCCCCAATGGCCACTGTCCCCTCCCAGTCTTTCCATGGTTGCTGTCCCTTCTACACCTGTGCTCATCCCCATGGCTGTGGTGTCCCTGTGTCCGTGCCACTTGTGTCTCCATGCCCACAGTGTCCCAATGCCTATGTAGTCCCTGTGGCCCCGGTGTCCCCATGCCCACAGCGTCCCCGTGGCTGTAGTGTCCCTGTAGCCATACCTCACGGAAGGCGATCTTCAGCTCCCTCACACCCACCATATGAGCCGTCTCCTCCCGCAGCTTTGGCCCCATCATCTGCACAAAGTCCTCAAAGTCCACACGGCCACCCACTGTACCAAGGGAACGAACAGCCTCAGTGCCCCAGCCCTGTCCTCATATCCCCACACCACTGCCCTGGCCCTGCAGAGGCCATCCCTGCACTCACTCCTCATTTTGATGTGCTGGGAGATCTCGATGAGCTCCATCTCAGTGGGCATATATCCCAGCGTGCGCATGCAGGCACCCAAGTCCTTGTAGCTGATGAAACCATCCTGGTCAGTGTCAAACTCCTTGAAGGCATCCAGCAGCTCTGTTCCGTGGGCACAGGGACCCATCAGGAATGGGATCATGGCACCTCACCCCAAGGCACTTTGTCCCACAGGACCCCTTCCCATAGCAGATTCTTCTGTGGCGTGAGTCCCCATATGGCACCAGCTCTCATGGCACCATGACCCACAGCAACATGTCCCACAGTGGCACCTTGTCCCATGACAGGTCCCTCCATGATGCATCCCAACACAATCCGTGGCACTACAACCCATGATACTCTGTCCTTATAGCACCATGCCCAACAGCAAGTCCCTCCATGGCATATGTCCCCATGGTGCAACATTCCACGGCACAAGCCTCCATGGCACTACGTCCCATGGCACCACATCCCATGGCAGATCCCTCCATGGCACACTTCCCATGGCACCGTGTCTCACAGCACCACAACAGCACCATGTCCCACAGCATCACATCCCAAGGTGACTCCCTTCACATCTACACGTTCCATGGCATCATAAGACTTGGCACCATGTCCCATGGAAGGTCCCTCCATGGCACATGTCCCCATGGCGCACTGACCCATGGCCCGTGTCCCGTTCTATGGCAGCTCCTTCCATGGCATTTATCCCATGGCACCACACACCCGTGTCCCCCCATGCCCCGACCCCACTGCTCACCATCCAGCTCCTCCGGTGACAGCTCCCGCTCCTGGGACAGGGCACAGAGGGGTAGTGGTGGTAGAATCAGACGTGGCTCAGCCCCCCACCCCACCCAAGCAAACCACGGTGTCACCTTTGTTAAGCGTGGGACAAAATTAACTCCCACAGGAGGGATTAGAGGGATTGAAGACAAAGCCCTGCCTGGCCCCCCTGCCCACCGACCCCATCGGCCCCTCTCCCTTTCGGCCCCTCTCCCTGCACGCACCCTGATGCCCCCAGCCCAGGACCTCTGACCCCCAATAGAGTTCTGCCCCATTGCTGGAGGTTAGGTGTTTCCTGAGTGACAGGGTGGAGATCCCCAAGCCCAGCCCCTCTGCTCCCCCCTTCCAGTGAACCCCAATCCCTTCCCAGTCCCACACAGGGGGGGGATGAGCCCCCAGACCTCCCCACTCAACCCAATGGTACCCACTTGGCACCACGTCCCCTCCATCCCCGTTGAACCCAGCCCCATCTCCAGCTTCCCGTATCCCCTCCATCCACTGCCTCCCCATGCCCCCACCTTGCCAAACACCATGTTGAGGAATGGTGAGTACGCCTTGGTGCTGGCAGCGTGGGGGTCCCCGGCCCCTTTCTTGCTGTTCTTCCGCCCGTGGCCTCCGTGCTGGATTTCAGTGTTGGGGCTGCCCGGGGGGCCACCCGCCTCAGGGGCTTTGGGGGGCCTCTCATCTACCTGCCCCCGCTTCCCTTTGCCTGAGGCTTCGGTGTTCTTGGGGGCCCCCTTGTCCCCCCTCGAGCGTGGCATGGGGCCGAGGGGCTGGTGGTGGCAGCAGGAGCAGGGCCGGGGGTCAGCCAGCCCTTAAGAAGGAGGCCAGGAAATCCTCTTACCTGCCCCCTCCCCCCCCACACCCCGGGAGGGCAAAGCCAATTAGCAATGATTACCATGGCAGGAAATAAGCCACCCACCGTGCCCTCATACATGTGCTGACCACCTCCCCACACTCACACTGAGCCAACTCCAGCACCCCAACGCTACCACCTGTGTCTCCATCCCAGACACCTGTTGGTCCCCATTCTTACGTCCCCACATCCAGACCCCCAGGCATCTCCTGGCTGCAGCAGGGACAGTGTGACAGCCAGCAGCAGCGCCTGTCCCCTCCCCAGTCCCCGTGTCCCCATGATAGCATCGCCCCAGCTCAGCATATGCAGGCAGAAAGGCAGTACCTGGCAGAGAGATGCCATTGTGGGGACACCATGGCACTGTCCCCAACACGGCCACCCCAGAAGGGTCCATCTGCCCAGAGACACTCAACCTTGGTGCTGGGAGCCCACAGGGGCCATCCTATAGTACCAGCACACAGGGAATGAGAATCCTGGTGGGGGGGGATGGGCAACCGTCCCCACCAGAGATAACGGAGCTGCTTCCTCCCTGCATGGCAGCAGCTTCCTGTCCCCTCTCCAGGAAAATAGATCGGGGGTGTCACTGCCAGGGGGATGAGCCCCTCCCACCCATCCCCACACACAGGGCAGCCCAGGAGCTCCCCAGTGCAAGCCCACACCCACACGGCTGTTACAGTAGGTCAGATGCTATTTATTGGCCTGGACTATGGGGCAGCGATGAGATGGGGCCACGAGCATGGCATGGCATAAAGGAGAAGGAATGCTGAGGGGTAGAGTGGGGAAGGAGAGGCAAGAGGGGGGCCAGATGTGATGGAGGGGGAGAGTGGGACAGTGAGATGGGGATGGCGAGCAATGGGGAGGGATGGAAACTATGGGGTAGGGAACTATGGAGGGCATGCAAAGGGGCGGGGAGCTACGTTTGGGATTCAAATAATGGGGAGCAATGGCAGGGATGCAATGGGATGGTGAACAATGGGGAGAGGGGGCAACGAGAGAAGGGGTGATGTGAGGGGATCCAAAGGGATGAGAACCTATGGGAGCAATCCAGATGATGGGGAGCAATGGGGGGTTGCAATGGGACGGGAGTCTATGGAATGGAAAGCAATGTGGCAGAGATAACACTATGGGGAGTTATACCCAAAGGGATAAACACGGCGAAGAGGATAAAACGAGACGGGGACCGATGGGATGGGTGCAACGGGAGGGATCCGGAGGAACGGGGACCGAGGGGATGGGAAGCTACGGGGGAGAATGCATTGTGACGGGGAGCTATGGAGATGTAATGGCAGAGGGAGCTACGGGCAGCGGGCCGTCCGCGGGGTTCCGGCGGCTGGTGGCGGCACGCTGGGCGCCTACATGGCCGCCAAAGCGCCCTTCCAGCCGGCACGGCTGCTGAGCCGCGCCTTCCGGCGGCACGGCGCCCGCTGGCTGTACGCCGTGTGGGCTCGGCCTCCCACATGGGCAGCTGTGTCAACTCCTACCTCTGCCTGCTGCTGGGCACCAGCGTGGGGCACCGCGCCGCCAGCGCCGTGTGCGCACGGCCGTGCCGCACAGCCAACGGGGACGGGAAAGCTGCCGGCACCGGGATGCCCCCGTGACCACGCCCCCTTCCTTGCCCACGCCCCTTCATTGGCCACGCCCATTCCTTGGGCACGCCCCCTTCCTTGGTCACGCCCCCTTCCTTGGACACGCCTCTGCATTGGCCACCCCCTCTGAGCAACCACGCCCCCACGGTCTGGCTCCGCCCCCTTCCCTCTCCCCTGCCCCCGAGCTCTCCGTGCCGCAGTGCGCAG